TCGAGCACGTGAGTCGTTCGTTGTGCATTATAGCGTTTGTTATAGCGCGACTGTGGAAATTAAATGTACTGCAAAGTTGTATTCAGAAAGAATAAACCAGTTTTATTTAAGAAAGGACTTGTATCGCTAAAGTTTCTTCGGAAAGAATTTTTACGGAAAATTAACTAACGAACAGAGGCGTAACAATATATTAATGTTGTGACAGATTATGTATATTTATGGTAACAGCTGGTCAGGTGAGATGTAACCTTAAGGTCTAACCACTAAATAAAAGTCCTTCCTTGAAGACTTGTTAGTTCATGAAACCTAGTTAGAAATAATTATTGCTTGATATTATTCTAGAGATTGAGAAGTGGTTTAATTTTGAAACATTGCTTTATTCCCTGACAAGTTAGGTTTTTATTTCTTTGGTTCTTTTTCCTAATTCCTTTCATATTTATTGCATTTAATAACTTTGAGATTTATGTTCTATTGTTTATTAATATCTATACCTAATTCTGGCCAGGACTATTTTAGATTTATTGTTAACTTCAACTACAGAAATGATTGAGAGGATGGAAATTGGTGAACATCTGGGTGCAAGTGATCATTGCTCTATCAGGTTTCATGTTTTGCTGCATATGGAGATAAGGAATAATGATATTTTGGTTACAAATTTCAAAAAAGCTAATTTTGAAGGGATGCAACAAGAGTTATCTGTTGTGAACTGGGCAGCTGAATTAATTGGAGACACTGATCAGATGTGGAAAATTTTTAAAGATATATTTTTTAAATATTCAAGGTAAACATATTACTTATAGAAAGAAAAGATTAACTGCAAGTAAAAAACAGGTTGGCTCACAAAGAGTTTAAAAGGTAAAATTAAAGATAAGCATCATAAATTTAAGAAATTTAAATTGAATGGTATGACAGGAGATTTATAAGATTATAGAAGATCAAGAAAGCTGGTGAAACGGGAAATTAGGACATCAAAAAGGCTGTATGAGAAAAGATTGGCTGAAAATGTAAAAATTAACAGCAAAGATTTATTTAAATACATTAAGGGAAAACAGAATGTTAGGATTGGGGTAGGACTCTTGAGGGATGATAAAGGAAGGCTAGTATCTGATGAATATGAGATGGTGGGGGTTATTAAATTTTGCTTTGACTTTGGTTTTTTTACTAACAAAGGTTTAAGCAGTATTCCACATCTTGATCAGTTGATAAATGGAAACAAGATCAAACACGATGACTGCATTAATTCTGAGCTAATTAAGAAAAAATTGGGAAGTTTAAAAAAGATAAGGATCATGGGCCAGATAATATTTCCCCAGGGGTTTAGAAGGAGGTTAAAGATTGGATGTGTGAGCCATTTTCTACTATTTTTTTTGTCAGTCCTTGAATAGTGGGCAGGTAACAAAGGTTTGGAAGTTATCTAATGTAGCTCCTCTTTTCAAGTGAGGTGATAAAAATTGTCCCAGTAATGACAG